TAATTAGCTGCTTGATTTGGTGTTATTTGGACTGTAGTTGAGTTGAAGTAGCAATGTTATCGTTGCGGTGAGTAATAGGGGGGAAATTTCTGGTGGAGACGGTCAAGCAATCGTGGTTCCGTCGCGTGCAGCGAAAGGGGCGGCGTTTCCCTGCCCCTCGATTGGAGCGTCGGATTTCATGTAGACTACAACATCTTAGACATTTATTGCTTTTTTTGGTTGTGTCTGTTGTCGCCATCTAACCTAAAAAGCAAATCTTTCACTGGGGCGACGTCGCGCGCGACTTCTACTGGCGCAGGTTAAATGGTTACCTTGAAAACTGATCAATGGTCGGTTGTTATTCAGCTATGTTCTGTTACCGTTGTAAGGCCGCCTCTTGAAAAAAAGTATCTTGAAATTTGATCCCTGTTGAGCCTGTGTTGATGTTCAGCTATCTGCAGGGAAATAAATTTCATCAAATTTACCGAAATGGCTTCTTTTAACGATGATTACTGAGCATTTTTTTGCCTTTTTCCTTCTTCTTTTCTTATAGCTACATCTTGTGCCTTTTGTTGCCTTATTTGAGGGAGATAAGTGCTCTTTCCAAACTGCCCTGTTTGTCCTTTGTGACTTTGTGACTCTAGTGCACTTTTGGCAGTTTCCTTTATCAGCTGTTCAGTTCTCGGCCACGGTTATGGCTTAGGACTCAGGCCGCGTTTATAGTTTGCGTCCGAGTATGGCAGCGTTTTGAGCGTAGGCCAGTGCTTAGCAGTCGCGCAGAGGTGGCGAAGCACGTTTTGAGCGATCCGGTGATTCGGGAGACCGGAGCCTTTCGAGCGATTGCTCGTCAGGTTGGGTGTCGATCGGCGCCATTCGGGAATCGCGCGAGTGATTGGCTCGAGGCAGGAAATGCGAACATGGCCTGAGCGCAAGCGGCTTGGTCGCGATTTGCTTAAAAAGCGACTAAATCGCGAATTATGAATGCGCGCACCAAGAGTTAGAGAAGCAACTGACTCCGCCCACTAGCTACCAAAGAATGGACGAATCGGACGCACGAATCGCTATCGGGCGAGGTGAGTAGGTTTTTTGTTCCTTTGTCGCGCATTCTCAAGGTTCGCCCATTTTTTTAAAACACGGATCCTGCAAACTGATAGTTTTGCCGATTCTTTCGAACCGCTCATTCTCCCTAATCGCGACTTCTCCACATTCGTGAAATATAAACGCAACCGTAGTGCTTCAACTATTTCGATGGGGACATTCTGCATTGATGATCATCTGCTGTGTCATCGTTCGTTCCCATGCAGGTGTCACTGCTTTGATGTACTAGTGAGAGGAATTATTGCAAAATACAAGCTCTCCCCTCCCCTATCGCACTAAACTTGAATCTACTCGCCGTGTTTGTGCTGCAATCAGAGGCAGTGTCGGTCTTTGGTTAATTTCTGATCGTCGATGTGATGTTTGTTGTTGTGTTGATTCTTCGTGTTTGATTACCGTCTATACATTGCAATGTCTCATCACTAAGAGAAAGATGTTTCAGCGGGCGAGGATGACTATGGTCAACAGTTTTCCCGATCGAATGAATTTGTCGTTTTCCGGATGCGGGTTCTTATGTATATATCACGCCGGTGTTGCAGCAGCTATTAAAGTAAGTTGTATATGTTTACTGTGGTAGTGGACATTTTTGGGAAAGACGTTCTTGCGGGAGGACGGAGATAGTTGAGTAAGCGGCTGTTCGTACAGAGCCTCTCAGAACAGCCTTCAGGCGTCCGCGAGGGGATCGCTCGAGGCGTATTTGAGGACCGATTGCAATCGCCACTACCAGCGGGGCCCCATTTCATCGTCAAAACGACACAATGCGCCGCAAATGACAATTCAACCTAGCGGCCACAGCGGCCCACTTTGAACTCTGCCGTTGCGCCGCTTGGCGGTGGGGCGCCGACGGTCGTGGTCGCGCGATCCAATAGCTCGAGCGATCGATCGCGAAGTATGAACGCAGGCTTCATCCATACTTTCCGAAGAATGTCCTTAGAGTGCATTCATACTATTGCGTTTCGACTGCACGCCAGCGTCCGGCAGTTTTTTGAGCCACTAAGGAAGTATAGGTATCGATCAGCGTTTAAGAGGTACCGCGTTCTGAGCCTTCCGCAAGTTGCTTTGAGCTTTTCGCGGGCAGTCGCTGAAAACGCTGGCGTGTTCTCAGAATGCTGAATCGATATCCGCGCTTTCGTAGTCGCTTTCGTAGCCTCGCTGCCGTACGCTTAAAAAGCTGAGTAAAAGTCTGAACACAGCTTCAGGAAGTGCAGACGGCCGGCCACCTTGCAACTTATTTTCGCCGCTTTTTCCCTTCCAGCTATCTTAGCGTCGTCCTTCTTCAGTAAGCGGATCTGCTATTTTGACTGAGCCAATGTTGGGAAAGGGCACACGATTACTTTGTCGAAGATTTTTTCTAGATACGACCCCCCCCCCTCACACCCCTACCCTCTTTCTATTTCGTTACGACCCTCTTCCACCAGACACCTCCAATCAACTATCAGAAATAGTAATTTTGCCGCGCGCCAGCATGGGAGGGAAGGGGGTAGTGCATGTGAAACGGAAAAATCAATCGAAAAAAGTTTTTCCTAGCCCAAAGATTCCGTCTCCTGCAGCCTCTCCTGTCCCCATTTTTTTCTACATAGGCTGCTTCTATATTTGCGCTGATTACAGAAAGGAAGAAAAAGTACAAGAGATTACAAGATTTCTAGTTAAGAAAAGAAATCCTCAAATTCTAGGAGTATGCACCCCAATTAACCCGAAGTAGGATATCAGGAGCATCGGCAGGAGCTATTGTAGCATGTGGTCTCATGACAAATATTTGTATATCTCAGGCTACCAGCACAATATTGAGCGTAGTAACACAGGTATTGATATAGTAGCTCGTTTACTCTGTATGTAAGAGTCTATACTGGCATATGTTCCAGGCGCGTTCACGGGCACTCGGTCCATTGCATCCAGCTTTTAACCTACTCGCGGTGGTTCGCGAACAAGTTGAGTTGATGCTTCCGCCCGATGCGTATAAGATGTGAGTCATTTATTGTCATGATTCTATCATAAGCTGCAGAATACTGTGCCAAAGACAAAATCTCGCACCTAGCCACCAAGTAGTTTTTACTTTTGTTTTTGTTTGCCGGAGTTTTTGGAAGGAATCATAAATTCTATAAACGTGGGCAGCGTTTGGCCGTAGTGGGCGGGGCTTGTACACGACTATTAGGTCTATAAGTGGCGAAGTGTCATGCGTCATAAAAATCACTCTCTCATTTTTTTGAATTTTAAAACAATTAAATTCGTCATGAAAACATTAAAATCTCTATAGGGGCAAGGGCGAGGGGCGGTGCATAGGGTGGGAGCTGTAAAAATTGCCTATCATGTGTAGATGATATCTGTGAAAGGATCACTAAAATCGGATGTGACAGAATAAAGTTACATGCGAATTGATGAATCCATTAATAAGTGAGTCGTCGGGGCCGAGTCAAGCGAACTATTGAGTAAAAGTGTGTTCAAGTGTCGATGCGCATAATATGAAAAGTGTGTAAAACTAGGATGCAGTATATAGTGTAAAATATGCTTAATGTGAATGTGGTTTAGTCGAGGCAAAAGGGGCGGAGTTATCTGGGGGCGAGGCATGTAATGGGTCCATTATGTGCAATATATGTGCAGTGGGCGCTCCGCGCAAGATTAAGAAAAAAGCCGCTCCACGGAAGAATCCTGAAAAAATCATATACGGCATTATAAAGAAAATATTGAGCACATAAAACAAGTGCGAGAAGGTGGAAAATGGAGACTTTCCAGTCTTTATTGAAAACTACTGCCTTCAGTTTTTGTCCTTTGGCCTCTTTGCCATACCCCTCCGGTAAGTGGCCTGAATTATCACGTTGTCCTTTCCAGATGCAGAGGACGTCTACAAATCTCTTTAACACGATGGCGAGATAATAAAAATGTGGTGGTAACTGAATATGATTCAAATGACGATTTAATTGATGTGAGCTGCTTTTTTATCGGTTCTTCAGAGTTGCTCGCAATTTGCTATTCCAGGCTTTATTAGTCTCGGAACCTTTTTGTTTTAGGCCATAATATGCAGTTGTTTTATCCCTATATATTGTGGAATAGTGCCGCCGACATATCGCGGCGAAGCTTACATCGATGGCGGATTCACAGATAATCAACCGGCCTACGATGATCATACCGTCACTGTTAGCCCGTTTTCTGGAGAATCTGATATTTGCCCACCTGACTGGGATAGTGCCAGGTAGAGTTTTGGTATACACCATTGGTTTTTCGTACGAGTGTATGGTTCCCATTTTTGACATTGGTTCGTGACAGTAAATGAAATGGCATTATGAGTTAGTAAGTAAGCATGCCCTCTCTCATGAAGTGATAAGAGCTCTCCTCAACTCTCCAGGACGTAACCCGCATACACCTTTTGGTTAGTCTGATAGCGTCGATGCAATAAATGTTATTAGGGACTCACGAGCTACCAAGAAATATTGATAACAAAAATGTCAGGCGATTTCTCTTCACGACTGAACGAGCGAGAATATAAACTAGAATCGATTGGCTGCCTTCCAAGATCCATAGAGGCGTTCTATCAAGAAATGCATTATAATACGGTTTTCCGATTATCGGAGAGTCTAAAATGAGAAGCCTCCCTCCCTTACATACTGCCTACGGCCCTTACATTGGCCTTTTCTGGAAAAAGTGAAGGAATTTCTGGAAAATATAAGTAGGTATAGAGAAGGGGTCTACCGAAGCAACAGATTTCTAGGGGTTCACTAGTTTTGCAACAACTCTCACATGCAGAAAGTACCCTGTGCGAATGGATCACACTAGTGCGATTTGAACTTTGATGTAAAACATCATTCGCCAGCTTTACTCTCAGATTGAGACTTAAGCTAGGTCGAGGAGGACACAACGCGTGTCGCGGACTCCGTTCATTACTGTTGATTCAACGTCCGGTCAGAACACGTTTCGGAGCGCCGAAAGCCGCTAAATGAATATAACATCACCGTCTAGCGAACTCAGCATTACCAGCCTCCGTCAGCGTTCTAAAAACGTCCTGGCAGCACTAGGAACGATATGATACTCGCTATTAAAAATATCAGAGCGCTGCCGTACGCCGCCGGCGGCGCCTTCCACCTCTCAAGCGAAAATCTACGCCCGCGAAAACTGCTCATTGCATGCTGAGTGACGCTCGCCGATCGCAGATCTTTAATCCATACTTACTAATGGTCGTGAGGTGACTGCTGAGGCACGAAAGAGAACACAGCATTACGGATACATAGTTTCCTCCTTCCTATTGGTCTTGGCGGAAATGGTCCTTGGCCTGCCATCCAACAAGCCCCACCCCTCCGCCAAGTCTTGCAGAGGATTTGACACTCTCCAGTCCTTAATGCCTGGCCCCCTGATCAAGGTGACTGTGACCGTCCTCCGGCTCTTGTGAAGGGTTGGACACTCTACTAGTCAGCGTATATTCCATTATGGCAAGAGTTGGCTCGAAGAAAGTCCAAAGTAAGATAAATATTTAATTTTCAGTTTCTTTAAGTATCTCCTTCTCTAAAAAACTCCACTACGCTTCTACAATCGCTAATCTTTCTCGCGGACTAACGGCCGCCAAAAACGTGTTTAATGCCGCCGTCTACTGAGGATTGTTCCAAGATGTGTCTTCAAGGGTTCGAAGACGCCCTACGGTTTCTTACGAAGAATGGTTGGTGGCCGTACTACGTCTGCTATTATGTATAACTATGTTGTTAGCCACGGATTTGGAAGATAAGGTGGGCCGATAAGCTTGGTTTGCCGCACTTACAGTTCTCCACACCTTGTGGAAGATAGCTAGCATTTAAACTGGTGAAAGATGTACTTGGCGCCGCGCCATACCCAGCCCTTCGGTATTAGGGTTGTCGGAAGTTCTTACGTTTTGTGCCACCTAATCTTGTAACAATTCACTGATGATTAAATAAACTCAATTCATGCCTTGCTTACTCGTAGCAGCATCCAGTGAATAGAGAATTCTCTGACAAAAACTCCCTTCTGATCGATATAATTTGCCAATTTCACCCACTTAGCTGGATAAACCACCTCCTTTTTTCCAGAGACTTTTTATCAGCATGCTGAAAAGAAGCACTTCGGTCACATTTTATTTCTTCGGCTATAAATTGGGGCAATCTTCTTTCAGGCCAACAAATAACCAGGTTGGAGGCCCAATAGTGGCTAGAGAAAGACGGACATGCAGCAATGCAGTTCAACATAATGTCGTTCTGGATAATTCAGCTTGAAGGATGAGCATCAATATCGGTCGACTAGCATATCTGGACGAGGATCTATAAGAGGGGAAATTCTCTCTCCAAGGTTGACCCATACCCAAACAGTTCGAAGAGAATAGCAGAAAGACTAGGCCTTGCAAATCCACATGGCAGATGTCTGTAACCGCCTTGGAAGGTGGAAAAAACTCGACATTGGGATGCCCACAATCGGAAAGAAAAAGTGACCGCGCGAGGAATGCGGGCACGTTGAGGTTCCTTCTTACTGCTTTTTGCGCAAAGAATGGACGTTTAATTGAACACGATTTGTCACCTGTGATGAAAAATGGATCATGTATGATAACAGGAGACGTTCCGGACAGTGGTTGGATTTGGAGGAACCACCGAGGTAATTTCAAAGCGAACGGGAACTGCAAAAAAAATTCTGTCAGGTTTGGTGTCATGGGCTGCTGTAACTTCCCCACTATAACTTTTCATCACCAGGCCAAACCATCACAGCAGAACCCTACTGTGAACAAACCGACCAAATGTACCGAAAATATTGTCAGCTGCAGCCAACACTTATCAAAAGAAAGGGTCCGATTCTTTTGCATGACAACGCCCGCCCACACGTTTCACAAATCACTATCCATAAATTGAACGAATTGGGAGTTGAAGTTCTACCTCACCCACCATATTCTCTAGACCTTTCACCAACCGACTGTCACCTTTTCAGACATTTTCAGAACTTTCCTGCTGAGAAATACTTCATCAAACAGGACCAGGCAAAAAGACCTTCGCAGATTTCGTGGATTCTCGACCACCCAGTTTTTTCTTTGATGCGGAGTCTACTCGGACTGCTGCCACATTGGCAAAAGTGTGCTGATTCGAATGGTGCTTATTTGGATTAAATCCGATGAGTGTTAAGAAAGTTATGATCGTTTAAAGTTAAACACCCAAAACGCTAAGAACTTTCCGGACAACCTAATACATCAGCATCCCGCCACGGAACAAGACGTTTACTAGTCCTGCTACTTATGCAAGACTATGCAAGATTGTTCTTTTAAGCTATGGCACCGTGTATACGCTGTTTAACCATTCAAACGAATATCGACGAACTTGGTGATGTGTATGTTCCCCAAGAAGAGCGTCAGTTTTCCCCGACTGGCCTATTTCGCACGAAAAAGAATCAAAACTATGAGCAAGTACAGTAAGTTTCGGTTGTTTTTGTGTTTCTCCTTGAATGGTTATGATGAAATGCGAGAGACAAAGGGCAACGTGTGATGCTACACCCCGCCTGGCGTTTGACCACGTATCGGGTTTCAGTCAGCGCTGAGGTTATCTTGTGAGCGTTAAGTATAAGTGGGCCGAAGAATATATATATTAATGCCAAGTTAAATTTTTCTTTGCTCCAGCGAATGTTAGGATTCTCTCGGAAACACAGCGTTTCGATGACATCATAAATCTCAGCGCCCACCACAGCACCGCCGGTGAATGAATGACATCACTTGTCAGCTGGGTTAGTGAACATCAAAAGAAAAGCCCCGAAATTAGCAACAATCGCCAGCTTCCAGAGAGGGAGAAATTAGTGACTTACTACCAAGACTCTGGGGGCTCAAGTGTCAGCTTCAGCGAAGTATTTTGTACTTGTGATACTATTTGAATCGTGAACGCCGGCGAGAATTAGTAGTTACCACTAGAAGCAATGGAATTAATTCCCTCTTTTCAGAAAGCGAATCGAATCGGAGTGCGATACCTGTTGTGAAAGTGAGCATATGTATAATGCTGCTGTGAGCGATGTATTTCCATCGCTTCTCACGAAAAGTAAGTTTTTGCCCTTTCGAATTTATTTTCTTTCGGAGACACGCCTAGCTGGGCGGAGCTAGGAAACGACGCCACTGGCGCGTCCATTTTCGCGGCCGTAGAAGGCGAGGGATGAACAATTTATTTTGACCCCGGCCATCCTAGGCGGTGTCTTTAATCGGCAGTTGTTTCATCCATAATCGCAGTGTGCAGGAAAAATGAAAAAGCAAACAGCTCTAGGAAAAGCATCATTAGCTATTCTTGGTACGAAGAACGGACATTCAGATAGCTTTCTGGAGTTCTTAAGAAATGAAATAATTGAAGATTGAAGAGCGAATTGTAGCATTGTTGAAGATAGTGACGGTTTAGCATTCGATGAAGCGTTTGCTGCAGAGGAGTCGTACTTCAAGTGCTTCTTTTCTTTCCGGATATTTCGCTTTGCTCGTACTGCTCTCGGTGTTGGAAAGTTGCCTTGGGATATGCTCGTCATTTTCACAAGAAAGTGAGTTGTTTTTGCACATTCTGATATTTTTTATTGTTTTACTTCTAATTATCGTTTCTGTTGGAAGCGTTGGAATGGCTTCCTTTGCTAAGCTTTGGTAGATTTTTTTGTGACTTTTGTAGTAGTTCAACACTCCTTTAGTCTGGAAGTCATTTAAGACCACGTTCAGACTTCGCGATCGGATTTCGCGACCGCGACGAGGGCGCTCAATTGCCAAACGGTGCCCCACCGCAACGGCACAATTCAACTTTAACTGTGTGAGCGCGACCAATTTTGAATTCTGCTGTTGCGACGGTGCACCATTTCGCCTACGGTCGCGGTCGTGCGATCCACCCGCTCGAGTGGATCCAGTAGCAAAGTCTGAACGCGGTTAAAGCCTCCTAAAGAAAATTTCATAGACAGTCATCTGACATTACAGCATATCGTCGTGGTTGTCAGCTGTTGTGGCTCCCAATTGGCTAAGAGTCAAGTTACAATCTTTAGTGGATTTCGTGCTGGCCGAAGTGGAATACCAGCAGTTGCGATACAGTCGGTATGTTCCTTTCCGTAATGAAACCTATTTACTATAACTCTACGTTTGCGGTTACGCAATGATCATTTGCGCTGACGCTTTCAACTGATTACCCCTTATCAGTCTCCGCCATTGTGGTTAGGTGGTCACTGGTGTCTGCTTCAGACAGATTGCTGAAACATTCTGTGGATGGGTTCGAGCGGGGCTTTTTTGAAGTGTTTGAAGGGCATGATTTCAGCGGCGTTTTACTTGGAAGCGTAGTCCATGCCGCGGCGCCTTGGGAAGGCTTGACACCACTGTGCGCGTTCTCCTGGAGCTGTGATGTTGATTGTGTAGACAAGGTCGAGGAAGTTGCTGTGCCCAAGTTTAGCGCTCTTGGTTTCGCTAACTGAAGTAATACACAGAAGTCCAGACGCTACTCAACTATCCGGAATCCGAGATTTTTTTCGTTTTCGGCGCTGGCGCCAGTTGGTTGGTGCCACCACTTTTCTCACCAGAATCGACATCTTCCCGCGAATATGACATCTATTCTCGGCGCCCGCGCTAAGTTGGGGCACTGTGATCATCTGTGCTATGCTAAAGCTAAGCTTGGCCCGAAGAGAACCATTCCTCTTTCCATGGTCAGCCACAGCAGAGCACTGAATGGGGTCAGTGCTAAAAAAGAGTATCATTTTTGTAATCAGGCCACCGAATAATCCAAGTATGCAGATTTGCACCGACTTTAGTGAGAGGGTTTGTAGCATCTAATGGCGCCAAGTGAAAGCCCGAGTCAAAAACAAATGTCATATTCGTATTCAGAGCGCCTCACAACCCCTTTACTTAAAGACACATAGTACGCTCACACACATTGAGGGG